GTCTCTGTCTCTCTCTCTGTGTGTCTCTGTCTCTCTCTCTCTTCCCTTCCTCCCTCTGTCTCTCTCTGTAATTCTCTGTCTCCTCCCTTCCCATCTCTGTCTCTCTGCGCCTCTGTCTGTCTGTCTCTCTCTCTCTCACACTCACACCCACACACACTGTGGTCACCTCACCTTCTATTCTTCTGCTGCTGCACAAGACCACATGGCGTGCGCTGTCCTCTTCTGACAGTTGCCTCATTTCCAATGGAGGGAATGGGGAAGCATGCATTTTCCTCCCTCTGCATGGATTTCCCACCCCCTTTTAGTCCTGTTGTTGCTGGAGCTGCTTTGGCTGACTCCAGCATGGCGGTGGGACACTTGCCATCGGTTTAGTGGCCCACCTTCTTTCCTCAGGCAGGTGGAGGAAGAAAGGAGGCTTGTGATAAAGCACCCCTGCCACCAAGGGTGAAGGGGAGCACCTTCGTCCTCGACTATTGCATGCCTCCTTTCGCCACGCACCTGAACTAGCAAAGAAGGTGGGCCACTAACTGATGGCAAGAGTCCCACCGCCATGCTGGAGTCAGCAAAAGCAGCTCCAGCAATAATGGAACCAACGCTCCCCCCCCGCCCGACGCTATCTCCTTTCATTCTCCATCTGTCTCATTCAGGTGGGTGTGTGTGTGTGTTCTCACACACCACTAAACTGCCCGCTCGCCCACATTCAAACCAGCCCGCCCCTCCTGTCTTTTGGCATAGGCTCTCTGGAGGGGGAGGGAGATTCTTTCCAAAGACTGGCTTCTTTCCTTCCCTCCTGTGGCTGGAAAACAGACATTTTTACAGCGGTGCAGAAACAGTCCCGGGCCGTCAGTTCCGGCTCTCCCTTCCCCAAGCAGGTCCCGTTGCTGCTTGAGCCACTTTGCTGAATCTGGTGCGGTGGCAGGACGCTTGCCATCGCTGAGCGCTTCGCTGGCAGCCACTTCTAGCCTTCGGAGAGCTTTAGAAAGCCTCAGAGAGCAGCTTCTGCAGAAGCCTGAGTGACTGAGAAGAATTTCCCGCCATTACAAAGTCTCCAAGGCTGTAATTGTATGGGGGATGCGCACGCAGCTATGTTTTCCATGGCGTGGAGCTGCGGCAATGCTCTGCGCGCCCAGTGATGACTCTAGAGCCCACCCACGGGGGATTTCGAAGAACGCGAGGGGGAGTCTAAAGTTTAGCATTCCGATGGTCTGTGGAAAGGTCGTTTGACCCCCAAAGGGGGCGCGACACACAGGTTGAGAACTGCTGCTTTACGTGACATTGCTAGACCAGGGTTCAATCTGCCCTCTGACACAGATATCTATGCAGGTGGGCAGGAAGACACAGAAATATTTGCAAGGCTGATGATGAAAGCTACTATAGCACAATGACTAATATTGTACCTAGCCATAGAAGCTGGCTCAAACCTTGACCTTGGTGGCCTTAAGAGAAGCCACTATTCTTTTAGTCTCCACAATTCAGCCACTGAGATAATTATATCAATCTACTTTGTAGGCTTGCACTAATAATTACTTTAGTAATGACTTCAAACATGTGCTTCAAACACGCTGCTCTTTAGTTCAAAGTTTGTGAATACCTCACATTAGTGATAGGGTTGATGAGAGAAAGATCTCGAGGTGTCTCATAATTTTATTTTTGAAAAAAAGAAAAACTAAGTAGACAAAATTGAAATTACAAAAGGACAAAAAAAGAACAAGGAAGAGAGAGGAAAAATAAATAACAAAGGCTTCCAAACTCAGCCATTAAGAGTATAATAATTGCGCAGAGCCATCTGACTGCTAAGATTTTCCATATGTAAATCTTCCAAGAGAAATTGCAGATGCATAGTTAAAAATAGATAATACTTGAGGCTATGTTTAATTTAAAAAGTTAGGTCCTGACTCTGAACATTTTCAAAAAGTAAGCTGGCCTGAAGCGTGGCACGACAAAACCGCGCTACGCAAAATAGCGGAGATTAAATCGCGTCACTAAAGTCGTGACGTCATCATCGCGCNAACTCAACAACACTCCCACCCAGTCACATGACATCCCCCCCCCCAGACATGCCTACCCAGGTTTCATGGCTCAGTGTTTTCTGTGGGAATAGGGTCTCTCTTTAATGAGGAGATAACAAAAGAAAGGGAAAAGCCAATAAAAGAAATGAAGAAGGGAAAAAAGAAAGAGGAGATGATAATAAAAATAATAGTGGTGGATGAAATGAAACGGGGGGGTTGTATTAGGAAAGTTGAATGATACGATTGAAAGGAAGAAAGGGGCTGGGATAGAAAGCTTAGAAGTTAAGCAGTGGAAAGATGGAAGGCGGGGCTTAGCAGTGTGAAGACGGACTTTCAGGCTGCTCCTGAATGTCCATCTAAACCCGATCATCTGGATGGTTCTTTTTGGACCCAAGCTGTCCCAAAGAGACAGTGAAAGGTAGGGTGAAATCCAGTGGTCCCAAAGACACCCGCAAAGTCTCTGGTGAACCAGGAAAAAACCCCTTTGCCAGTGATTTCTGGATTAGCCAAATGGCTACTGAAACTGCTGACAGCCCTGAATAGACTGGATAAGAAGCATGTCGTGCTGGTGAGAGTTTTAAAACCTTTTTTTATTGGAAAGAGAACACTCTAAATTTGGAAATTCAGTTTAAAATAAGGCTGACTAGTGAGAAAAGCGGCAGGTATAAGTTTTGCCATTTGAAGGATTTTTATTTTTTTTATTTTTATCTCTGGAAACCGGGCTGGACTTTCCTGCAATTCAAATCCGCTTTCTGTGTTTTTCTTTTTACCACTGACATTCTTAACTCTGGACCTTGTGGGGACACTGAATTTAAACTTAAAGTGCTTTGAAGATCTGTTTTTTTTAGCTTTTAGGCTGCTTTTTAGTAACTCTTGTTATTTTCTCTTTTTTTCTAAACAAAGTTATGGAAGCCTTAATACTGAGTTGATACAAGTCAACAAGTCAATATAAGCTAACACTGCCATCTAGCGGACTTGAAATATTGTTACCAAAATTTCCCCTGTAATCTATTTGGTTAAAAAAAGTAGGCTTTATTTATACAGCTGCAGCTTTTTATTATCTGGAACTCTGCCTTAGACTAAATAACAAAGCAGCAAAGGAAGCTGAGAATGACCTTGGAAAGACTTTGATCTTAGGGGGGAAAAAGACTGAACGTATTTGTTTTAGCTTGGTGGCAGTTTTTTATATTATTTTCATATTATTCTGCTGGGGAGATATTGACCTTTTTCTTTTTTTTTCTCCTTTTGTTTTTTTGACTCCTTACCTTCTTTTTCTTTTTTTGTGGCTTGAAGTATCCTTGTTTTTTTTTCTTACCCTATGTTCTCTTTTTGCATTTTTTTCTTTTTGAAGACATTGGGACATCAATGGATGGCTCACCTTAAATTTTGAGCAAATTAGACTGAAGAGTTTTTGTTTTGTTTCTTCTTTCCCTCTCTTTCTCTCTTCTCTTTCTTTCTTTTTCACCCCCTTTCTTAAGTCAGATTTTCCCTCTCCCCCCTTCTTTTTTCTCTTGTGCCCTTTTCTCATTGTACTTATAACAGTGATGGGCAACCTTTTTGGCGTGGTGTGTCAAAAATTGGCAAAAAATCGAGCATAACTCGCGTTGTGNTGGCTGCCAGCTGCAATTTGGCAGTTCCAATCTCACCAGGCTCAAGGTTGACTCAGCCTTCCATCCTTCCAAGGTGGGTGAAATCAGGACCCAGATTGTTGGGGGCAAGAGGCTGACTCTGTAAACCGCTTAGAGAGGGTTGGAAAGCCTTATGAAGCAGTATAGGTCTAAGGGCTATTGTTCTTCTTTCCTTTCTTCCCTCCTTCCTTCCATGGTGCGCAGTGGTTAAAATGCAGTATTGCAGGCTAACTGCCCACTATCAAGAGTTCGATCCTGAGCGGCTCAAAGTCGACTCAGCCTTCCGTCCTTCCGAGGTGGGTAAAACGAGGACCCAGATTGTTGGGGGCAAGAGGCTGACTATAAACCGCTTAGAGAGGGCTGTCAAGCACTGTAAAGCGGTATGTAAGTCTAAGTGTAATGTAAATTTTAATGTAAAAACTTGTCTCCAGGGGAATTCTGTATAACTATGACAGGTATTTTCACCTCTGCAGATACATTGTTGATATGTTCCTTTGGAGATGAGAGAGGAAGAGGCAGATAGGTTTTCTCTGCTAAGAACATCCGTGGGAAACAGCCCACACCGGATCGCCTGAGCCAAGCAGAGCAAAACAGGAAGGGAAATTCCGTTTCCACCTTCTGGGAAGCATGGAATAACGGCTTCTTTTTGGTGTTTTTGGCAGGTTTTTTATCTGGAGCAGCTGCTTTGCTGTGTGGAAAATCTCGTTGAGCTGTGCCAGGAAGACTGCAAAGAAATAAGCCTCCAGCTCACCAAGGTTTTGGTGACCATCATGGCAATACCAACCGCTGGGCATTTATATGTAAAGGTAACCACCCCAAATGCCATTCCTGCTTAAGGTACTTATTGTTGCAGAATGTGATTCGACATCTGGAACAAGCTCTTACATTCGCCTTTTCACAATTCCAGAATTGATTAGCAGAGGCTACTTGAATTGAAAAAAATTAGCCACAGATATGGAAAGTACAGGATTGGCAATGCTTAGTCCAGCTTTGATACCTGGTCCTATAAAGTGTTTCCTTTAAACCTCAAAACTTCTAAATTTAGGGCCTGGGAAGGGAGGGAGGAGGGAGAGGAAAGGGGAAGGAAGGAAGGAAGGAAGGAAGGAAGGAAGGAAGGAAGGAAGGAAGGAA